GCCGCCCCCGCCGCCCCCGGACCACCCTCTCTGGAAACGCACGTGCGCTCTGTTTTGGACGGCCAGGCGCCCCAGGCCGCACACGGCCGTGGACCACTGCGCCGACGGCCTGCTCACGCCCGCGGCCACCCCCAGGGCCACGTCGGCGTCGTGCTCGACCAAGCCCGCCCCCGCCGCGCTGCTCCTGCACGTCCCCGTCGCTCAGCAGGTCCTGCAGCGGCAGTCGGTCAGGGCGGAGAGGTCCGCCCAGTTCAGGCACGTCAACGCCGCCCGGCCCGGGTCACGTCTATGGGATTCTCCTTCACCTGCTCCCCGACCGAGGGTTGCTTCACGATAAATTCAAGCGTACATACATTTTTCTGTTTTCTCCATTTTTATTCTTATTGTTTTGTGTTTTAAAATTTTGCGTTTTTCTTTTTGCTGTTAATTTTTAAGGGTGTATACCGATGTGTTTGGGTGGGGTACCCCTCGTTCACGACTCACCCCGCGGACACCTCTGATCCTTCCTTCCTTCCTGCTGCAGGCAGCCGGCGCGGCTCAGTCAGAAGCCCTCTCGCGCGGACACGGACCCCGGCCCGGGAGCGGCCGCCAGGGTCAGCGCCAGGGTCTCCATCGGCTCCAAGGGGCTGGACGGACGGGCGTCGGCGGCGTCGGCGTCCTCGCGTCGCCAGTTCGAGTACAACGCGAGCGTCCTACAGAAACCACCAAGTCTCGCTAGGCATCGGCGTCGAGACGTCGAGAAACAAGGGACTTATTATGATGTGAGTGAGATGTGTGTTAACGCCTGAATTTGTGATAGTATCCAGCACTTGATGAAATAACATTTTTCTTGTCTATCAAATTTTCATATTCCTTACTTTTATTATCCCCGTAATAGAAGTTAAACCAGTTGGTCCCTGACCATACCCCACAACGGTCAGGACTACGAACTAGTGGCCAGATTCTATCTGAGGTGTTCACTCCACGAGTGCCCCACAAACCTCAGGTGCTGAGGACAGAAGTGCCAAGTCGACTTCGATTTAGCAACACATATTGCCCTCCAAGATCTAAATCCCATAGAGTGGTAAGTTGAGAAGTATTGTTGTAACGATGAGCTAAAATAAACGAACACTCTTAAAATTCATTTTTAAATTTACAGAAGACAGTAGCCGGACAATCCATAAGCAAGGATGCAGAACAGTCAGTTTGGACGCCATCGCAGACCAGTCCCCCCGTATGTTTTGCAAACTTCTGTGAACGTTTTTTTTTCTCCTTTCCAAGTGGCTCATTGTTATTTTTATGTGTAGGTTTCTAGCCGTGATTCAGCTTACAATGGGGGAATTTCATCAGGAGGTGAAAGCAGAGGGCCTACTCCTGACCACAAAGGCACTAAAAAACAAGCAAAAAAGGCTGAACGGAAAGGTAAAAGGATGGTTGATCATAAACCAACACACTCAATAGATTCCAAACCTCAAAGAAAGTTTGAAAAGAAGTTAATGAACAAACTCTTAGAAGAAGAGAGAAATGAAATTCAAGAACAAAGACTTAAAATAGATCCATGGCATGGGATAAGTCAAGATGACCATGGGGATGAGATTTTAAGAAATATTCAAAACTTGCATATAGACAGCAATGAAGAATACAGCTCAATAGAACATGGCAGTCCTTTAAATGATGGGAGCGCATCAGACCAGTCCATTGAGGAAGACATGATGGGGGAGGTGGACGAGGCTGTGGAAGTAGAAACAAACAAGGATGATGTTCAGGACTCACTTGAAAGAGATATGGTTTCTGAAAGTGCTGGATCAGAAGAAACTTTTTCACACAGAAGATCATTCTCTACTTCAGACAAGCAGCAAGCTGGAACACAAACACCTGACATAGTTATTGTGAAGAACAATAATCAAGATCACTTTTTGAAGAGTACAAAGAAACACAGTGTTTCATCCTCACATTCTGTAAGTACAACACAAAATTTCAAAGACTAGTGCAAAGTATTTGATTATGATTAAAAAAATAAAAATAAAAAAAACTAACGTAACTACCTTTCTGCTCAGGTTACATCCTCAAGTGCAACTGAGAAGAATTTAAGCTCACAACACCCTAGTCATGACTACTCATCAAGATCACAGTCTGTAAAAACTTCAACTTCTGAGGCTGACATTGCATTTCAGGTTCCTGCTGCTGAAATCAATGAGCTGAAAACTTCTGAGGCAACGCAAGACAATTCTGAAAAAAATAAGAAAGAGCAAGGAAACAACAAAATTCCATCAAAAAGCAGGTAACTTCTTAATCTCTTTTCAATTTTGAGAATCTGAAATTCTGAGTTACATTAACCAGGAAGTGAATAAAATGTTAAATTTGTGTCTCTTAATTGTACAGGTGCAGTAAAGTGTCACTTGCCAAGTTTTTATATGATTTGGCAAAAGCTGTAGCTAGAGAAAAGATTGTCACAGACAAAGGTCTAAAGGCAGTATATGATGAGCACATAGCAGCAAACTGTGATAAATTAGACAAAGTAAGCCTCGCCCAATTACTAACAAATTTCATATAACTGCAGATTAGCAATTTTAAATGTTCTATAATTACTCTTTTATTTTTGAAACAGGAAGAAATGGAAGAGCAAGTTAAAAAGTTTCACACTCAGTTAGAAATATCTATGGAAAATTACCTAGGTCATGAAATTCACTGCCCAGATGCTTCAAAGATGCATACATCGTTGAAAACTGATGCAATGAGAGGACCTCTTGATGTAGAAAATTTATCTCCCTTAATGTCTGAACCTGATGAAATTTGGAAAAATTTTGTCCTTCAACACAAATTATCACAAGCCAATAATGCCCAACCCTTGCACACGCCTATAAAGTGTAATAAGCTTGGTTTAGTTTTCACAAAGTTTGAAGATCGAACTAGTTTGTCTCATGAGCCTGTAATTGCAGCTGATGATGAGTTGACTGGACAACGAAATGTTCATGAAAAGCAATTCCTTTATTTGCCTATTGAAGGACCGAGAATAGAGTGTAAACAAAAATCATTATTTGAACTGCACGACTCAAAAATTGGAGCAGCATTACAAATAGATTCCGAAGACACTGAGAAGCCAATTTTGGAGGAAAGTAATACTGAGGAAAGTAATAATTGTGGAGAAGGGGCTGCAATTGCTTGCAACGTAGGATCAAGTTTTCTGAACTCTCTTAGAGCAGAAGAATCCATAAAATTCGACACTCCATCTCCTCTTTCCAGCAACAATTCAATCAAGAGCCATCTTCCACATAGTCTTTTAACAGGGGAGGAAAATCTAACCAAAAATAATTTTAGTTCCACCTCACCAACAATAGAAATCATGCCAAGCAGTATTCAAAACTTGCATGGCAGAACAGGTGATTTAGAGAAATTCCAATTTGAAAATCCTGCACGAATAGAGTCCTTCAAGGAGTCCTGGCTAAATGGAAAATCTGTTGTAAATATTGAAAGTGTCCAACAGGCAAATTTTGAGGACAGAAAGCTGGTACCACAAGTAAGTACTATTCGCTTAATACAAGATTCAAAAGTGGATTCTAAATTTGACAAGCAAATTGGAAAGATAAAACCAGATTGCAAATGTAAAACTGGAGAAAAGAATACTGAGGCCAGACATAATTCAACTCCAGAAAGTAGAGACACACCTCTTGTTTTCCTTTACTCTAAAAAGTCACCTGTCATTGATGGTAGTCAATTAAAAAGTAAAATCTCTATCAATGAACATGACACTGATGAAAAAGAAATTGACAAATCAATTTCAAATATCTGCAAACTTGACTTGGAGAATAAGTGTGTTGATACAATCACTTCCCACAGTATTCATTCAGAGTTGCCTCTAGGAACAGGTGTGAATTCTGATATCATGCGCCATGAAATCAGCTTAAAACACCCTGTGAAAGGTCCAGTGTAAATTATGAAAATTGTATTTACCTATATGTTATTAATCAATGACATTGTAAATTCTTCCCTTGTAAAAAACAAAGAAGGAAAAATGTTTGTGCATAAAAATTCCAGATGTATGTGATTGCATCTGAAGTCTTGTTGACTGTATTTTGTAACTGTGATCAAAGAAATAAATTAAGTTACCTGTGCTTTAATCTATCACAAATGTGAGTTATTCTTTTTTGCATGAGGATAAGAAATACATTAGCAATTCTCTATTGCAAATACATTTTATTCATTCTAAAGCTATAATCTACACCCAAAGCTCAAAGAAATACGCTTTCAAAATGGCAAATTCTTACAACTGCAAGGTTCAAGATAATAAAAACAAAAAACAACCTCATGTTAGATTAGATTATTGTAATGCATGGATATTTTGTAGGCAAATGCTTTGTGAGTTGCAGCCCACAAAAGAGAGACAATCATCACTACTCAAAACAATACCTCTATATCACATCTAAACAGTCCAAATCAGTTCCAGGACACAGCATTGCTTTCCTATTCCACCTCAACACTCCACGAAGAAAATTTCTTTATTTCAGTTCCACTCTGTACTAAGTAACATTCATAAAAAGCTTTAAACACAGACTGAAAGAAAAGTTAACTTGACGATAGAGATGTATCTACATGCCAGCTGACTTCTCGAATTTGATTGCACAAATCCAATTATTCCACTTCTAATAATGCTTGAAAAGATTTTAATTTTCCTACATTTAGAAAGAATGATAAGCACATAGACATACAGGAAAGTCTGTTAGCTAAGTTAGCAAGGCATGAAATTACAAAGAGTCCTGTGAAACATGTCATACCTAACTGGATAAGTATTAGCAGCAATACTATACTTGCACTTCCATGTGAAAACAATTTTATGATTGTCATAATACTGCTACAGATGGTCACTACAGCTATATAAATCAAGGGTATTACAGCAGATTCAAATGGATTGTGACCTTAAAATGAAACAACAGGGAGCAATGGTGTTAGCTACCAAAGTAACTTGCAGCATAGCTCAATAAGAATTCTCATATAATAAACAATGAAAATAGAAAAATATGAAATAGAATTCTTGACAAATGGCTGACATTTTAAATTGAAAGCAAAATTCAGTCGCCAGCTTTGAAAAGTTCATAGAAGATAAAATTGAAACATTAGACTGAAACTTGAAAAAATAATGTCTTAATAATATCAATCAACAACTTATAAGCGTACATTCAGTTTCTCACGGTATAATAATGTGTTAACGGAAAGCAGGCACCAAAATCACTAAAGCTAGTCGATTTCTTTTGTTTTAGTGAGCAATCCGGTCAATGATATGATACGTAGTAATAGTTTTACTCATACCTTACATAAAACAGAGCATTTTCATTGTTTCGTTGATCTTTACGTACACATAGTCAGATCTAATAGTTAAAGGGCACTAGGCCAAAAAATAAAATAAAAAAATAAAAAATCCTGAAGAGCGAAAAATTGTGTTAGATACAAGACATATATCACCGCAAAACACAGTACAAGATTTCAGCACAGTTCAGAGATGCCCATGATATACAAAGTGAAAACATAAGTCATTATAATAACACTAAGTGTAAATTCATTTTGTACAATTTTAGAACAACAACCTAATATAGAAAAAGCAAATGTTTCAATGCTTTTCCCTCTTTTTTTCACTTTCTTTTTTTTAAAAAAAGGGAAAAAGGAAAATGATGTTAATATTCTTGCTCTCTAGGTGTAACAAAAATGTTGCAAAGCAGAAATAAAATGATCAATATAGAAAAGAACTGGAACTATTCTAAACTTATATTCTGAAGACCCTTGATGCACAGCCTCAATTTCTACATTACTTAGGGTATAATTATTCTGAAATGAGCAGTATCCATAGTCTACATCTCACAACTCATGTTTAAAATATACATCTCATGTGGACAACCACACTGGCAAAAACAAGGGGAGGGGGAAAGTGTATTTTTAAACAGACATTGTCAATTGACTTCCTGCTTCTACTACTTAAGTGCTTAGACATAAAATAGATTTTAAAAATTCATGTAAAGGAATGAAAAATACGTCACTTTAAGCGTATCAACATCAAATACATGACTAGGATTGAGACATAAAAAGAATTAAGTACACAGTATTAACCATCACATTCATGTACAGGTACAACAACAAAACTGGCCTGAATATGTGGCAGTGGCACACATCTGGTAACAATTATATGAATGGACGAAAGGAAAGCAAGAAGGGGCTTACAGAGTGCAGCTGAGGACAAAAACAATCTAAAGTTCGGGTCAGGTACATTTACAATTGACCATATGCGCGTAGCTGAATGAGATTGTGATTGCCCTTTAACAATCTACTTCGGGAGTAGATTAAGAGGGTCTCCCTCTCTGTATCAACCTCATAAAAAGCTAAACATTCAAGCTCCTCAGAAAATTTTTCTGGCTACTCACCAGCAATAGGGTAGAAATGAATTGCAAACTTGCTTGGGGGGACTACAGCACAAAGTGCATGATAGAAATATTCCTATTTGAGCTCAAAGACCCACGTCAAGTTAATATATGTTGTGAATGAAGGGGTTGGACAAAGATAAAAAAAAAAAAAATAGTATTTTGAAAAAAAGAAATGAGGATGATGGACTAGTTTTCATACACTCACAGGATTAATGAACCACGAGAAAAAAAAAAAAAATGAATCAACAAAGATATGATCAGAGTATGCTTTCCTTACACTACTAAAACATCCTACAACCATTTGATACCTTTGGTCAGAAGAGACTGCAAACACATAAAAAATATAGTACTTCGTTGTGTATTGTGCTTAAGATTTGTGAATTCAGATCAGATAAGGCATTTTCTTTTTTTTCTTCCCAGCGAAATAATCACTGACGTCATCATAGATTAATTGAATGTAGGTTTCACTACCAACAAAACTGATTTACAACAAAATTTTGCAGTTAAGACCATATGTAAAATTGTTGTCCAATGAATGAATAAGCAAATCATTGTATTTACACTGACTAAATAAAGGTGATATGACTGCGATCACCACCTACACCACTAAAAAGGAAGCAAATTAACAATATGAGAGGTAATATGAGGCTTGTAAAATATGCACCTCTGTCAGAAAACATCACTACAAAATAAAAAACAATACATTCTACTTGGTATTAAGTAGTGTGCAATGGAATGACTCTACCTGCATCCAGAGATCTAAGACAGGAAAAAAAACTAGAATCTATTCCATAAAGAACAAAACACATTAACCTTGCAAAGTAAAATCTATATGCCCGCATATAGAAACATGTTACATTTTATCTGCTCAATCTTAGCAACAATTTTTTATCAATCAATGTTTTCTTTAATTCTGGCGAATTGAAACGTCAAAGTGTTTTGCACATGCCATACGTTCAAGACATGATGTCACTAACTCCCATCACTGGCATTACTGTTCGTATCCTCCATGTCAAACATACTGACACGAGACAACATGCGATTGATGGGATTGTGTTTGGCTTTCAGGAAAGCAGGAGGCTCAGAATCTTTAGAAAGTACTGATGGAAGATCCAATACACTTTTGATTGTGTGATCAGGGCGACAGTTATCATTTCCATTCAAAAGCTTATTCTCTAAAGAAGCTGACGAAAGTGGAACCCAAACAGTTGCACCAAGTGAAGCCTCATGCCCACCCAATATATCTGTCTCCAGCTTGTCTCCAATCATTAGACAATCAACAGGTCTTACACCTAGAGTTTCACAGGCTTCCAAAAATATGCGGTGATCTGGTTTCTCCCAAAGTAAATCTCCACTTACTACAATATGGTCGAAGTATGGAGCTATGCTGAGGTTGTGAATTTTCTCCCACTGGTGGTTGGAAGGACCATTGGTAATAATGGCGAGGAGAAAGCGTTCTCGCAGCCGAACCAGCAGCTGCTTGACTTCGGGTTGTAGAGAAAGGAAGCGCCAGCGTAGGGCCAACCATTGTTGGTAGATGTTTCCTGAGAAAGACATTAAATTAAGCCATCTCAAGCAAGAAAAATGTGAAGACATATGTTTCTTTGTTTCTACTTCAGTGTTACAATAAAATTGTGCAAAACTAGCTTACCAACAATGTCAGCATACTGATCTCCAAGAGCATGGGCCCAAAGCATCATCCGCCATTCATCAAGGCCTCCATCTGGTTGAGCTGGACACAAGCGAAAGTTGATGAGGAAACTCTGGACAATGCGGCTGGCCACATTCTCAGGGACTCCATGTTGCTGCACCAGGATTTCACCCACCTGCAAAACAAGGGGGGAAAAAAAACTAAAAGTAAATAAAACTGATAAGGAGGTTCATATAACAAGCTACCAATTTTCCCTGATTTCACCCAGATAAAAATTAAAGGTTACCAAAGTAACAAGAATCCAAAGTTCGTGTCAAATTTATGAAAATATTAGATAGATGGATGGATAGAATATGATAAACTAAATTTTTAAAAATTCTACTCTATTAAGATTTTTTAACTTCCCCAGACCTTATTAGAAATTCCTGACATTTTCTTGCTTTGCTGATTTGTAACAACCCTACAAGTAATCTGTAGATTAGATTAGATTCATTCATAGATCAGGCACATTTAAATGTCATGTATGCAATTTAAACATAATGCAATAAAAAAAAATACACACACATAATATATCAAACAAACAACACTTTTCCAAAAACTCACCTACAAAATTGTTCCTTTTGTACATAAATTTGTTTCAGATGATACTTGTTCTAAGTAAAAATTTTGAGGTAAAGAAAATTGATTCATGTTTGATGGCATATTAATATTCCTTGTTTATTAAGATTGAAAGTGGCATTACAATAGAAGCATTGAGTGGTGGACATGTTTTGTGGGTTTTAAATGATTTGCACGGTTAATACAAACATAGGTCCATTGAGAACCATTTTTTTCCAGTAGGTATGTTATAATAGACTAGTGAAAATTAGGATTTGTTTTGTTGTAATGAGCAACCCAGGTGTAAACCTGACTGAACCTTTTCATAATACAGATAAATGCTTAATATCACATAGCTATTTATAATATCTAGTCAACCAAAATTATTTCGCAGCACAAGTCAACTCTTGTGTGACTAAAGTAAAAATATTTTTTGTGATACGTATCATGAAGAGAAGGATAGAAATTGGGGCTTTCCGAAATAAATTCAGAATGACGATGCAAGCATGAACTCAACACTCAATCTGGCATCACAGAACTCCAGGATATCACAAACAGGAGTAAATTAGACTTTCAAAAGTATGACTTCCTTGCAATTATGCAATTAGTGGTACTGTCATTGTAATCACCATCAAGAGAAAAAGTTACTGCTGAAATTTACTGATTGGGGTATGAAGTAAGGCTACATGCAAAATTCCCAACAAAAGTATCATCTCCACATGTGATTATAGATTTCGGACTATCACAGAAATTGATTGATCAGATCAAATCATATAGACAAAATGCTGCTAAACATGCAAATTTTACTGTTAATACAATATAACTGAAAACACAAAGACAAATTTGTTAAATTTGGGGTTGGGGAAAACCATACTCAAGTTAACAAACTATGAAAATATTTATTTGAGTACAAAATAGGAAATCACACATAGAAAACGAATAAAAAAGCACAAATTAAGTTCTGTTTCTATTTCATAATGTTGCATAAAATTCTTACAAATTTAAGGCCTAAGTTTCATATTAAATTAACAAAAGAAGAAATTGCAGATGAAAGCGCATATTCAATAATACATTTTTAATAACATTTCATCAGTCTTCAAAAAGCTTCTTTCCAAGTTCCATCAGGCGGTGATTGCGGCATACAGAAAGGGCATCTCGTTTCTTCAGCACTGAAGCTACACTGTTGTTTGCTGCCACCAGATGACAAAGGAAATCTTCATATGCAGACTTAGTGTTCGGGGGAAGAGATCCATATTTCACCTTCTTCAAGGTATCAATGATACCCTCTGCCCATCCACTCTCCATGGCAAACTCTGAGATCCAGGGTATAAGTGATAACACTGCACTCATTGTTTGCATGCCAAGGAACCACAACTCCATAAGCTGAATCCAATGTTCTTTATATGCCATTGCAACAACAAGAGTAGAACTGTCATTTGACTCATCAACATTGTAAGCATCCCACAGGAAACGAATAGTGGCCTGAATGTATCGACAGATTGAAAAATCATTCTTCTTTATCTTTTTAGCCTGCTGTTTCAACAGAAGCAGTCCAAGAACTGCCATGTTCCCATGAAGCACCAGATTTTCTGGAATATTGCGAAGTTCAGGAAGGTTATTAAAATTGAACTTAAGCAACTGAGAAAAGAGTGAGCTTTCTTCAACTATTTTGGCTTCAAGTACAGTGATGTTCATAAAAATATTACAAATGCTGACCATGGCGGTTCGGGAATCACTCATATCCTCAACAAGTTTAGGATCCAACGCCTCTTCCTTTCGCACTTTAAGTCGGTCAGCTCTTGGTACAGGTGGCTTTTTATAGTGCACAATTGACCAATGAAAGGCAAAACTTTCATACAGCACTTCATCTTCCTTCGTGTCCAGTAAGATTTTTCTTGCCTGTTCTTCAACAGCAAGGTGGCACAAGGCTGGTAACATAAATCTTAAAATGTCAACCTGACTTAATGGGTCAGTGTCAACCTCCATTGGCTCACCAGTAGGATTAGATCCTCCTGGAGGACCTCTAACTTTCTCCATCATATATCTTGCACGATATGCGTAGAATGTATCATTTGCTAAGGTCAGCATAAATGGTAACAACTGATAAATCTGATCACGCATGGATGAAGTTTCTTGAGCCATCCAGGCAGAGAGGACTCTCACCATGGCACAAATGAAGACCTTTTCTTTTAACTCGAGAGTAACTTTCTTCTTGTTGACATCAGTTTGAACCTTCATCAAGAGTGATATTATGGCAGAAAATCCCCCCTTCATGGCTGTGTACATAGACTGCTTTTCTCTTCCCTCTAATTCAACATGTTCATTTGCTACAAAAGCAATGGCACTTTCTATTATTAGGAAGCATGCTGTGCAAAGATCAGCATTTGCCATGATTGCTTTAAGACCTCCTTTATCTTCCAATTGCATGCGCACCTCAACACATGCTAGTTGAGAAAGAAGCAGGAAAAATTTTCTTGGGTTATCTTCATCCATCATTGTCCACTTTGGACCCATGAAATCTGTCATCCCTGAAGCCAGCTTCAGAGCAGGGTCCCGTTGGGCTTTTCCTATTTTGCTAGTAAGAATATCATACAAAGCTTTGTAAACACTAGCCGGCCATGTGGTGTCTTCACCAAACGTAGTCGCAATATCCTGCTTGCAGCTCATGAGCAGGCCATTCATAACATCACAGAGATGAAATTTCCGTTCACTTTGATCAGTTTCACAATCAAGACTTATTTTATTCATGAGTAGATGGAAAGCTCCTGGATTTTCTTCCCAGCTTTTTGGACCAAAGCTCGTAACAAGTGTCACCAGTAAGTCAAGAGCTTCATCAGTCTGGAAGCTCTGAAGAGAATATATTTCAATCATCTTTGAAACAGCACCTATCTCAAACAAAGCTTTCAGCCCAGGTTTTGTGAGAGCAATACTTTGTAGGCATTCATATGCCTCATTGACAATAATAAGATTGTCATCATCAGCTGCATCTGAAGTTTGTACAATATCTAGGAACATTTGCAGGTTTGCAAGCAGTTCAGGATGAATTGCTAACTCAGGGTCTTTGCAAAAAGCTGACAATACAGACAGAGCAACTGATTTGTAAACTTGAGGGGGACAATCTTGCACGTCTGACGTCAACAGAAGACGTTTCAAAAATTTAAATCCAATGGCTTCAAACAAAAGCTTTCTCACAGCAGCAGAGCAATCACTCCCTTTCACAAGCTTAGTAACCATGAACAAGGCAGCAAGCTTCTCTGTATCAGAGTCTGCTGCCTTGAGTATTGCAACACACTTCTTCACCGGGTCTGGTATAGCAGCCATTCTTGCAGAGGAGAATTGATGAAACTTGACGTTGACTTGAAGCACACAAACAGGAAAGACTAGACTTGAGCCACCAGGATAATGTCACTGCACTCGGAGAGGTTAGCCTCAACGCACTGGAATCGCACAGGCAAAATTACATGACAGTGTGTCGGAAAATAATGCGAAGGCCCAACGCTGCTGGGGGCAGAGAGCACTTGCGGCTGTCGGAACCGGCTCCTCACTGAGAGCGCTGAGCATGCTAGCACGCCGTCAAACGGCAGGGGCCCCCTCCCGGTGCGTCTTATTTTAGCCACACACAGTCACAGCCGAGGGGGGAACCGCTCCCCGAGAAAAAGTCTAAACTTGGACGGTCTAGAATTACAGCCAAGAGTTATTTTGGGGTGCCGACGACGGCGCGGCCTCTTCGAACAGCAACCCCTAGCGCATGCCTGCTCTGCTGCACTCGGCTCGAGGCTCGCGCGCCTCCGCCGCGGACCCAAACACGCACTGGCTGCGCGCTGCGACGCACGCTCGCGCACGACCTAGCCTGGACCTTGAAACTTTCTCGAGATCGCGGGGATGACAGGGCAAACCTCAACCTCGACAAAGGGCGCCCGCCGAACCGCGCAAAAATTATGCCATTTTTTACCTTGTCACATGCCGCTTGGTCCCCGCGGCGCGTCGGGATCAGCGTGTTGTCCAAATCAAACAATATCGCTTTAGGACATGTCGAAGGAATTCGTCTGCTGTGAGTAGCCATACTTTTTCTGGTGAACAATATGGATGACCGCGGTGTATAGAGCTTGGGAGAGGTTTACTCGACCTCTGTACCCTTCATGACTTCACGCCTTCTATATACGATGGAAGCAGCAAACAGCCGTATCCTGCTATCTAGCCTCCTTGGTCGGAGCTGCCAATCTGCTAATAAAGAAAAGTCCCAAGATAAAATAGAACAATTTTGAGTATGTCATGAATGGATAATGGATATTTCTGGCACGATATCAATGTTTAAGAACGAAAGAATACTTTCTCACACTGATTGGGGTAAGTAGGTAGTTTGCCAACTGTTTGTTGACTGCTTGTTATGATCAGAAGCTGGCACTAATTTTGCGCGGTTACCACCGGCATGAACTTAACCGATTCTTCGCCGTTTCTGCAGTTTTCGGAGTAATTTTGCATGTGTTTTGTATTGTGATTAGCACGTTTAACTGCCCATTTTGAATGTGTTTTTTCTTTGACATTTTTAAGCTTGACAAGATATGAAAACAAATATGAATTTTATGTATAAGTGATCCGCCCCTTTGTCTTGTTGATGCAAAGTCAAATGAAAATTATAGCCTAGTGGCTCATATTTCCGTACCTTTTCAGTCACATTTGGACTGCCACCTTTTTGACTGCCAATATTTTGTCCTAGGTGAGTCGCGTTACTCCACATTATCTTAACTTTGCATTTTTGAATGGTGATCTCTGTGTGTATTGTTCTCAACTTGCTTCAGTCCCTATGTGGTTTGTTTTCATTCATAGAACATCATTGTAATTTTTCAGTTTCCTTCTAACATGGCTATGTCTGCCCAAGTAGCCTCTTCTTCAACCACGACTCAAAATGTGGAAGATGATGCTGATGACTTTGGGCCTCAGGCTATCAAAAAGCTAGCTGTACGTCTCTCCTCCCAGCCTCTATTGTTGTTCTTGTGAATTATCTGTTTTAACGGTACTAATTGTATTGTATAATTTCAGACCCAAGGTATTGGTGCTGCAGATATAAAGAAACTTCAAGAAGCAGGGTATAATACCATTGAATCGATTGCTTTTGCTCCCAAGAAGGATCTGATTGCCATCAAGGGTATCAGTGAACAGAAGGCTGATAAATTAATTGTATGTTTTCAAAACACAAATCAAATAATAAGTCACTCTAAGGATATTCTTATTTCTGTTTTGTTTTGTTTCTAGGCTGAATCTTCTAAACTTGTCCCCATGGGATTTACAACTGCCACTGAATTTCACCAGAAACGCTCGGAAATCATTCAGTTGACAACAGGTTCAGCTGAGCTCGATCGTCTCCTTGGAGGTGGCATTGAAACAGGTTCTATTACTGAGCTGTTTGGCGAGTTCAGAACAGGAAAGACTCAGCTGTGTCATACTCTAGCTGTCACATGCCAGGTATTTTACAAATCTGCTTAATTATTTTGGTTAGACATTTCTTTCCAAGTTTCATCTTATCATTGCTTTTCTTTGTGTTTTTCACCACTTTTTTTTTTGCAGCTTCCTATTGATCAAAGTGGAGGAGAAGGAAAATGTCTGTACATTGATACTGAGAATAATTTCCGTCCAGAGCGACTTGTTGCTGTGGCAGAAAGATATAATTTGTCTCCGACTGATGTCTTAGATAATGTGGCATTTGCCAGAGCCTATAATACAGATCATCAGACAAAGTTACTTGTTATGGCATCTGCCATGATGGCAGAATCAAGGCAAGTGAATTTGGAATTGGTGTTATGGTATGATCTAGAACTAAATATGAAGTTGCTCTTATTAATTTTTTTTTCCATGTAGGTATGCTCTTTTGATTGTTGATTCTGCGACTGCTATGTATCGAACAGATTATTCTGGAAGAGGAGAATTAGCTGCACGTCAACAACATCTTGCCAGATTTTTGCGAATGTTGCTTCGTCTAGCTGATGAGGTATGTTGTGCTAACTTCATTCTGCTAACTGTATGTTCCTCAAATCCTGAGCTAAACAAATGTACTTGATTTTCTTTACAGTTTGGTGTGGCTGTTGTCATCACAAATCAGGTTGTTGCTCAAGTGGATGGTGCATCTCTCTTTGCAGCTGATCCCAAGAAACCTATTGGTGGTAACATTATTGCTCATGCTTCCACTACCAGGTATGTCCACCAGATTATTTAAACACAATTTGATGTTATTTATAAAATTATTTAATTTTTCATTTTTTTCTTTTATTTAATAACTCTCTGGTGTGAACGTGTTTGCAGATTATACCTCAGAAAAGGACGTGGTGAAACCAGAATATGTAAGATTTATGATTCTCCATGCCTTCCTGAAAGTGAGGCAACATTTGCCATTAATGCGGATGGTATTGGTGATGTCAAAGAATAACCAGTCTGAAAATCATCTATAAATGTCCTCAAAAAGTTAATTTAGTTAAAGACTTAAAAGACTAGTAAAGTTTATTTGTGTTTTCAAAAAATTAGGCCCTTGTACAGTGTATAGTTATCCTGCTGTGATGTGAAATATATTCGTACTCCGTTTTGTAAAGAATCACATTCTCATTTTCAAACCGTTTTTTCAGAAGTCTTTCGAATGCCATTAGTCGAGCCCGTTTTACTGATCTGGAATCCGCAGAGGCCTGTGTGCGGCGCTCGCGGCCCCCCCCTCGGCCAGCTTGTGTGTGCCCTTTATCCCCACGACTGCCTCTCTAAATTCGTCACTCGGGGGGAGCCGGACGCCGGACCTGTGCGATCAAACCCGAGGGGGAGGGGGGGGGGGTGATGTTGTTGAACCCAACGACACGGGCTCATCATCGAGAGCCCCTGGGCGCGAGCCAAATAGTAGCGGGCGGCTTTGTTATTTGGGTGAATGTCGACGAGAGGTCGCGAGCGCCAGCTTGACCCAGGTCGGGCCCGTGGGTAGTCGGGCGCCGAGGAGACGGCGGCGGCAACCCGGAAGGGGGGGAAGTCCCAAGTCCTTAGTGACGGCGAGCTCTGGCTGCTGCAAGTCCTCGTCCATCGCGCCGTGCCGTCCGTCAGGGTTCAACGAGTACACCGCTTGTCGCCTTTCGACGGCGTACAGCAGTGCTCGTTCTTCTCTTGCCCCTGTCTACCTGACCGCTGCCAGCAGCGGGGCGTTTCCTCGTCGCCGGTTTGAGGGAACAGTTTGAAATCCGGCGCGCGTTTGGGCGGGAACACGAGCGGGTGGAAAGCGGCGGCCTTTACTGCTCGTCTAACGGCCCACTTTCACCCGGTCGGTCCCTACCGGCGCGGCGGCGCGGCGCGCGGGCCGCCTCCAGTCACACCCAGTCACTCCAGGCCAGCCAGACGCGGCGGTCGCGGGTCGCACCTGATCACCGCCACGACCATGTCCTCCTCCACGTCCACGGTTGTCGTCGCGGTCCTGCTGGCGCTGGCGTCGTGCTGGGCGCCGCCGGCGGCCGAGGGCGCGCGCATCCTGGCCGTGTTCGGCTACAAGGGCATGAGCCACACGCTGGTGAACGAGCCGCTGATGCGCGGGCTGGCGGCGAGCGGCCACCACGT